TCTTACACTTGATACCAGCCGATACCCCCCGCCCCCGCTCATAGAGACTGCGTATTACAGTTGATTATAGTTCCTGGGCTCCCTGTGTTGTTACGTTACCGTACTGTGCGAGAGCAGACTTTGCGGTATTTTCGTGATACCCGTATTATTATACATCTTTTTCATGCTTGCACTAATAATTAAATGAGATACTAGTATAACTGCCCGAAAAAGCGACGAAGAACGTTTAGCGTTGTGCGTATGTTTGCATTACCATTCCCCGCTGATAGCGCTCTGCGTCTGAAGTAAACAAAAAAGTGTTAGAACGTGAGGAAGTCATTTGAACGCGTTCGTGACATTTTTGAACACGCCCACACACGGACGGGTAGACTCTATTGTTTTGGTAGCAGATGTAAAATAATATTTTCTATCGTCGTCAATTGCTGTTGTAACTACCAATGCTTTCATGCCATGAGTTAGCAGTTTATATTTAACCATGTTAGTGCCATGTTCAGAATGTTATTTGGAATCGTTCACACATAAACAACGTAATTTGTCACGATAATGAAATACAATACACAATTTTTGTGGCGCCGTCATGCGACGATAGGTTGAATGAAGATCGTCTGTCAAAACACTTGTTTTGCGATAGTTACTATATGATATATGACGAACGACACAACTGAATAAAGTTATAGCTTAGAACTATATTGCGGTAACCTATCTACGTCATTGTTAAGTCACATACACGCGTTGTCAATAGAGGGCGTGATTTATAATGCATCGTTATTTTCCGTGTTAACAAACACATGACAGATATATTTAGATTGTTTCAACAGAGAGAAGTAATTTTCGCTTATAACACCAGTGTTCATAATAATAATAATTACCAATACTTACTCTATAAACAAAATATGTGCATATATGTGTCGACCCCTCAAAGACAAGAAACTCCCAACACGTACATCGCAAAACATCAACACATCACAAAACATCCCACTACTATAGCGCTTATAGTTGTAAAACTGTGTCGCGTTAGATCATAAAACAGTTGGTCATTTAAACCTGGAAAGAGTATATATTTACACTTGTTGGCGGATTTAAATTTCATTATTATTCAAATTAAAATATCGGTTTATATATGGTCGTTCTACGTTATTGAATCCCGTGTCAATATAAACGGTTTTGTGTAGACGGAACTATTCTCACCGATTTTCAGGTCTCGAAATAAACAGAAATAATAGTTGTTTTTGCTTTTAAAAGCGGTGACAGAAAATTATAACAAAATTACATAGTGTTACAATCAATTTTCAATATAAACCTACGTATATTAGCATCCAAGTGAGTCGCCGCTCTACTGCGTCCCATCCTCAAGTTTTATTGAAATCTGTTGAAAGGGTGTTTAGAAAAAAAAATGAAAACATTGGCTAATTATTATATAAAGATTTCAATCAAAAACTAATCATATCTACGCATTGTTCCAGAGCATATATGTGTCAAGTTTCCTTGAAATTTGTTTAATGGTACATGGAAAGGCTTAAAATTTGCTAATTAATATGCAAATTAGGTAAATAATATGTGTGGATTTCAACCAAAAATAAATTAGCTCTGAGCATTATCCCAGAATATCTATGTGCAATGTTTCATGAAAAATTTATACTAGTAATTGGTTCTTGAGATATCTGTGGAGCAGACATAGACACACATACACACCGGGGTACGGACACACTAACTGCAAAAGCTCTCATTGTGACTGTGCTTCGTACACGGGAGTCAAATAGTAATTTTAGGCAAATTAGAATGAGATATGTCGGAAATTTTAACTCAAGCGAAGCTACGACCAAC